AATCAACAGTAATAAACCATTTCAAAAAAAATTTGAAATGATGTATTACTTTTTAAAAAAATTTGAATTGGTTTATTATTTTTTTTTAGACCAAACTAATATCGATAGCTTGCTAGTTTTATCACGTGAATACGGAATAAGTAAAATCAACAATTTATGCGAAGAATATCTTTTACAAAAAATACCAACTGTTGACTTGTTAATAACTGCACAAGAGTTTGAGTTAGAAAGACTCAGAGAAAAATGCATTCAGTACTTTTCAGAAAAAGCTTTAGAACCATTGCAAAATTATCCAAAGTATAACGAGCTGAGTAAAGAAAACAAACTGAAACTAGCTAAGGGACAGATTATGGTTTTGCGAAAGTTCTGTGAAAATGCTAAGTATCTATCTTTTTCTTTTAATTTAAAAATAAATAAAAGTAAGGTATGTTTTAATTAATTATCACAGTTATAGTAAGGGTTGTACTATTCCACTGGCTTAACGGATAATTTCCCGGTATAATAAGATTGTAAGCGGACATCGGCATGTGGCTGTCAATGTCCGCTTTTCGTCTACATTGTAAAATAAATAATTTTGAAATTCTGCAATATTGTATTAACAGTTTAATATCATGACTATTACATGTGCCATAAAAAACTGGTTTAAGGGTATGTGGCTGTTTATTGAAAAAGATAGTATTAGATGAAACCAGAAGCTTTCACCGTGCCAAAAGGCATGGTAAAAGAGCTTTTTAATTGGCATGTTGAGACTCGTTATTTTTTAATAAGAATAAGACAACTTAAAATAGTTAGGTTGATAGATTTTCTTGAAACTTTTAGGGATATCTTCAAATTGTTTCATAAGAAAAATAGAAAGTTTGAAACCATAATATAAAGCCGTTCAAAAGCTATTGCAGTTTGAATTTTTATAAAACGTTGATGTGTGATGTAGCAATTTCATGAAGTTATAAAAATTGTTTGAAATAAGAAGAGGGAGGTTTTATTCTTATGAACAAATGTAAAATCAATTTTTATGCATTAAGAAAATTAGCCTCTAGAGTATCTACAACAGATTTTTTTCCGTTAAATAAAACTACCCCAGGGGCGTTCAATAAAACAAGTTCTGTACTTTTGAGCACAATGTCTTTTGGTAATCTAGTCTTATAGTTGAGTTTTATAAGTTTTTAAGAAATAACATCTTGTTTTTATTTACAATTAATTCAGCCGAGCTTGTTTAAGACTTAAAATTATGTCTCAAAATCTACCTGCTTTGAAAACAATGAAATATAAGCTAGCTTTGAAAAGCAAAAGACCAACGTGTCATGGACATATAGTTTTTTGAAAATGATTTTTACAACAATATATACTTTGAATAAACTAAAAAACTTTAATGGGAGGTTTTGCCTTTATAAAGGAAATCACAAAAACTAAAAGTTTGTTATCACAAAAAGGTTTAAAGTGAGTTGTGTTAGGTGATTTACTATACCACAGTGAATCAATAATAAAAGCTGTGAAGTAATGAAAGTAAATAAGGCCATTCTAAGCAATTTTAAGGCTGAGGGAGTAAAGACACTATACAATATATTTTTGATTTACTATTATTGATTAGATTAGTATAAAATTGAAAAAATTGACATTTGAAAATTATGAAGAAAAAAAAAAGAATTTTTTTGATAACAAAACTTATTCAAACATCTAAAATAACCAAAAAATTTAAAAAAAAATTAACAGAATACCTCATCATAAGCTGTTTTGTCCACAGAAAAGATAAAATGACAAGGAATTCAAGTAGTCCCCCAACGTGGTCTGGGTAATTTTTCAAAAATATCTTCAAGTGACATTTCAAAAATATGATCAACTGTTGGAAGAATGTAGGAAAATGAAGGTTTTTTTGTTAAAAAAACTCAAAAAAGTTCTTACCCATGTATCCACTTTGCGTAATGGTAATAGTTTTAACAACATAACTAACTAAATCTTTTTTTGTATTAAGTTTGACTAAAACATAATTACTGGGCATTCATTTGCTTTGGTTTTGAAACAAGGTCTCATTTGTGAAACCACTGTTGCCATCCTTTTTACTATGTTAAGTCAAAATTCAAATTTTTGCAAACTTTTAACAGGTATACGCACCGCAAAAATACCAAAAAAAGCACATCTCAATAACTTTTTTTTTCAGTTAACAATAACAACAAAACTATATCTTAAAAATTTTAACTTACAGTTAAAATTTTGAAGATATAGTTTTTTTGTTATTGTTAACTAAACTTTTGTTTTTTTTTGTTTATGTACCCCAAAAACCGCATTTAATTTATCAATTGTATCACTGCAGCTAGTGAACCTATAAAGCTGAAACTTGGCGTGTTTTATAATTTTATTTGATTTGCTTTAAATATAACCAGTTACTGCTAAATTAATTTTAAAATAAATACCCGATGCACCACAAAAACCACAAGATAGGTACCCCAAAAATAACATTGATGTTTTTAAAATAACATTTTATAGGCTCTACATATGTTCTCGCTTTTTACTATATTGATTGTATGCAATATCTTGATTTCAAAGATGTCATTGCAGTGTTTTAAACAAAGTTTGCATTGTATATTTTACGTATTAAAAATCAATAACATTTTTAAAACATAATATTTGCAAGAACTTCTTAAAACTTACTTTGCGTTTGAACCAAGAGCAAAATGTAAATTTTTACTTGAAAATAGTTTTTAGTATTTCGATATTATCTGTAAGGGAATAATGTACTCTAAAATGTTTAACGATAATTTTTTTATTCAAAAAGAGTTAGAAAAAAATAACATAGAATATGAAGCCAAAAATTCAATTCAGACAAGAAAAATTACCATCCATTCATGGAAAAAGTAAGCCCGATGCATTAATTAGGAGAAAATTTACACATGCAAAGAACTTAAAATTAGAAAAAGCTTTGCCAAGAATTTGATGATTACCTTACTGAGAAGGACCTCTTGTTTTATTATCTGACGGACATAGTTCACGATTCAGTTAAGATGGTTTAATATACCTCCTTTTAAAACAAATTTGATTATATATTTCTCCTCACCACACTACTGGTGTAACTTAGTTGCTTGACCTGGTTAATAAAAATCTTCATCATGGGTACAGAATCGTCAAGAATTATCTTTTCAACCCATTGCAATGAATAAACTCTTAGAGAGGGATTTATTACCATCTTAGGCAATATATGGGAGAAATGGGTATCAAAACCGATTCTTGTTTCTAGTGCAAAAAGAGTTGGAATAACGCCTTTTGAATTAAATGTTAACTTTATGCAACAATATAAATTTGAGCGAGCTGCTGCATACATTCATAAAGAAGAACCAGCGTCAACTTCTTTCAAAAAACTGAGTCAACCATTTCGTAACCAGTTGGTAAAAGGAAAGGTTCGGCTAATTACAGGAAAGATACGTTTGATCAGTCTCAAATTTGATTAGAGAAATAGCTGAGCAAAGCCTCCAATTAGAAAATATTTCTAATCTACTAACTATTAAGAAAGTCAAACCAAACCTTGAAAAAATATCTCATCGTGTTATTCAGGTCTATGGGTTAGTGCGTCCAAAAGATGTTGCAGCAAAAGTGAAAGATAAAAAAAAAATGAGAAACGAAGAAAGATAACAGCAAAAAAGGAAGCTAAAAAATAATAAAGAAGAAGCTAAAGAAAAATTTATTAAATATAAAGTTGAATGTTTTTGCAAACAAAGGAAATGTCAAGCTTTTGGCCTAAAGCATTGTCTTGATGTTCTCCGTTCAATTTGCAGCAAAGTGAATTGCAGACTTGATGGTGTTAAGCGGATATGGTTTTACCAGCAAACCAGCATTTTTCCACATCCAAAAGACTGATATGAGACCATTATAAAGAATCCAACAACAATCAATAGTTTCTTTTTGAATTGAAATAATCAGTTAATGTACTATTTTAATTATCTATGTTATCTTAACATTGTTGTAATAACCTATTGTTATAATGTTTTAAAGTCTGCAGCCATTTTAGATGTCTATGTTATTACTACTGTGTTCAAATATTACTTTTAAGATAAATATATATTTTTTCCTTAAATACAAATCAGATACAATGATAATTTATTGTTGTTGTTTCTTATTTCAAAACATGGTCTAAAAAGTGAGTTCTAAAAATGTTCATTAAAAACAACAATAATACTTACTCTCTTTATGAGGGTGTTACAAAGATTTACAACTACTTGAAAAAAAAAACTTTTTTCAGTATCTAGTTATAATCCATATGAAATAGAAAAACTATATTTTGCTAAGTTATTCTCTGATACGGCTTAAGGCTCTCACAAAACAAAAAAACTACGTTTTTTTATAATTGAAATTTTTACTCAAGTGCAAATACCAAAGTTTTTAACAAATAAAAAAAACACTAATACTACTTCATTTTATAGGCTGACATATTAGCTATCATAATATATTACGTTTTTTGAATATTGATTTTTTTTCTATATGCTAGGTCACTTAAGCCAACATTGTTGCTTTTGCGGTACATATACCTGTAGGCTGCAATTTTTAGCTGCAATTGATTATTGCAATTCTGCTTAGTCTCATTTTTTTTGTAAGTTTATATTTTTTTGTTTGGCGAAGTCATTATTTTACAGGAGTATAGTAGGAGAATTTTGAGGCTAAATATCCTAGCATTGTGAATTCTTTGATCAAGTTCAAAGTTCAATATTGTGATATGATTGGGTCTTTTGATTATGAATTTTTTTGTCCTTTTAATTAGCCGTACTAATATTAACAAGTTCCGTGTTTTATAATATTCTAGCTGAGATCGGATTTGTAAAAATTCGGGTCTTTGTAACTCTATTCCAAACCAAACTTTTTAGTACTTTTTCCATATATATCTCAACTTTTCTAATCCCTAAAACACGGGTCTTTATCAAACCTACTATTTAATACCTAATCCACACCGATTGTTTTTATACCTATTCCTTATCTAATTTTAAGTAAAATAATTTTGTTCTGAAAAACAACTTTAAAAGCAAAATAATAGATAGACTATAAAACCCTATGGAATCGCCCACAAATTACCCAACGCTAAATTTATTTTTCAAAAAGTAGAAGAGATCTTCAGCGATTTTCATTAAACTTAATAAGCTATGTAGATTTTTTATTTAACATGCGACTCTGCAAAGAAAAGTTTATTTAAACGTAATAGCAAAAACAAAATATACAAAAAAAAGTATGTTTACAAAAAAAAAATGCAACTAAATTTGCATTATCAATAAAAGATTGGTAGATTACCCAATATTTGGTTTAATTAATGAAAAAACTAACTACATAAATACTAATTATAGACGCAGCGTTTTTTTTTTTTTATCTATTACTCACTCTCCTCCTCAACATATGTATATATATAT